GAGGTGGAAGCGCCATGATGCAGGGAAGGTGGCCATGTAGCTCCATCGGCCACTCCATCTGCCACCCCATCAACCGCTCTGCTCCATCGGCCACTCTGCTTCGTGGCTTCCCAGTGAGACAAAACTATTGCTGCAGTGCCGATCTGTTGTGATAGTTTTGGAGGATAGTGTGGTTTATTTTCTCTTATATATTATTTTAGTAATAGCCTAGTATCACTGCTAGACAAGCAGACACACACACACATACACACACCAGCAGACAGACAGAGAAAGAAGGTTATCTTTATGTGTGATTAGAAAAGAGCAGAGGAACAGAATTGTATTTTAGTCTACTACATTACCCCTGCAGCTTGTTCAAATATCATATACCGAATAACGGTACCGTTGGGCACCAGTACCAACCTCCAGGTTCATATCACTTCAATTGTGAACAGTATCCAGCCCTTGTATGCTAATTTTCCAGAGCTAACAGATGGACAAAGTTCGCAGCTAGTGGAGCATTTAGCAGCTTAAGAGCCAGATATTTTTGTCAGGACTTGATGGAGAGCAAAACAGAACTACAAATTGGACTGACTTTCATCAGGGGCAAAAAAATATGACTTCAAATTAATGCTGATATTGTGAGGTAACTGTTAGACGTTTAAATAAGCCACTGTTTGCTAACACATGAGCCACATTGACCTTTTAACACGATAATGGAGCCTGCTGTGCTGCCCCCAAGTGGCCAAAAAATTAATTACTGCAAATTTAAACAGCAAAATTGTCCATTTTACGGAATACAAAAATCAAGTCACTAACAATTTGCTGTGCCCACTTGAAATCCATTTATAAATGCTTTTGCTACAGCGTGTGTCAGACATTGACAAAGGCTCAGAACAATTGGAAACCTGATCAAAAGAGACACATAAGAAGGAGTTGAGTGTCTCACAATAGACTGATTAAAACAGAAATGTGTTTATTTGCAGAGGCCGACCCTTTAACCTCTTTAATTCAACATGTTGACTTGTTGTTCCCTCTGCTGTTTATACCCAATTAAAGTGAGGAAGCTATTTGGTTAACTACTATTTAGCAGCGGACGATGTCGTTTGTGGGGGTGAGAGGATCAATTTTAAATGAGCACATTTAACACTCGGCTGTCCCCGTATCGTGGTGAGTCACACTCTTCCCTCTCCTCTGGCTTTTTGGGGATTGTAGCAGTCTAATTGCCGAGTTAGCCGGTAATTCTCTTTAAAACGCATAAAAGGAGTCAAGATACTCACACATTCCTGTCCTGACCTCTTTTACTTGCTTCTTCAGAATGCACCTTGTATGGCCAACTAGAAACCTGACTAAAAATGGTATCACGGAGCCCGGAGGTGAAGTCAGCTCTGAAGTTTAGCCAGCCACCCCGAGGCGTTTAGCAAAGGGAAGACCAGATGCACTTACATGGGAGAAGAGGTGGAAATAAAACAAGGAGGGAAAGGAGGGAGGATTATGAGTAAAAAGCGTTCATCTGCTTATTGTTGAAATTCAAATTGTCTTGCCACAGTGTACACCACACTGCAGCATAACTGTGGTTCACAGCTTGCTCAGTCATTAACAACTCTGCATGTGTCAGACAGGGTGATGATGTAATTTCTCCGCAGAGATACACCCTGTATTTCGGATCATACTGACATTTGCTAAGAAGTACTTGGCTGTAATGAAATTCAGTGAAGACACTCAGCTTAATTTTTTAAAAATGCATGTATTTTTAGGTGTTACAAAGTGATGAATGTCATTAGGTAATGTGTATTATGTTAATATACATTCTCACATTGCAGCTTTTAATGATTATTTTTACATTTAGTGCTGACTTTATTTCCGGTCCTGAAGCCAAAGTCAAAGTCCAAGTAAATATTTGATGGTTAAAGCTTCTCAAATAAAAGTACTTGTCTCACATTCCAGTAAAAATTAATATCTTATTAAAATAACAGCAACTCAGAGATGAGTTGGACGGATTTTGATGGACATGTTTAACTGTTTCCAGATGTTTTAAAGACCAAACAATTAATTGAATTAACTAGAAAGAGTGACAGATTATGTAATCCTGAAAATAATCATCGTTAGTTGCAGCCCCGTAGCGGTGCGCAGCTTCCCTCCAGCATTTTTGTGATGAATATGGAAATTAGAGTACAGCATGACTTTCACTTTGCTTCATGTGATAAGGACACCCACATCTTTGCTGTGTGTTTTACTGTAGTTTCATCAGATCCTAGTAATTGTTATCAGATATAATCAGATTTTTGGAGTCAAAATGTCAAACAATATAAGATTTAGATATAAGAGATTTTTATGGATTCATCTGAAGGACACAGGACTAACACTAACAGGACACACATACAGAAGGGAGCGCTCATTTTAGCGTGCTGAGTTTACAGATACCTGGTGTCGGGCATCACTAAGCTGTCACTAATGTGCAGAGGCAGATCTCACAGTCGACATGCTGCCTGTGTTCCTCTAGCTAACACGCACCCTTTCCATCCTGGTGAGAGGTGCTGTGTCAGCCGAATGAGGGGAGTGTTGTGAGAGTTTTTCAGTCCTGTGTTTCCCACTGAGACTATATTGAGACAAGCACCGGCATGCAAAAACACAATCATGGACTGATTTGAAAGGGGCTACACTTACCAGTTGGTACTGATGCTACTGACTGCACACGTGGCTCTCAGGACATTGGGCACATGAAAGGCAAGTGATTATTTGCTTGGTATGTGTTAATTTGTCTTTGCACAAACTTTTAGTGCAAAGTGATGAGACCGTTCAGTCCATTATCCATCTTAATTTTTTGATAGGAAACGTCATAGTCATCCGTCGACCAGGAGACAAAGAACAGCGCTACTGATTACTGAGAAACCAGCTCTCCCGGCGGCCTTTTTCCTTTTCCTTTCGCCCTCCTACTGAGCTGCTTGATTGAGTTCACACCTGAGGAGGCCAATTTGGTGCCCATGGAGAGGATCGAATAATAAAACACAGGAGATGTGGGAATATATCATGTGGGTATAGATAAAGACAAAGTGTGGTGCATGAGGAAGAAGGGAGAGTGAGGGAGAGGACTGTGAGACAGACAGCATCAGAGAAGATTGCTGGAAAATTACGGGATGTTGGAAATCTAATTTCCACATTAACTCGATAGAAAATGAAATGGGTGCAGAGCAGTTAAAGTCACGTCTGACACTCAGACAGATTTATCACTGAATAACTTAAAGGGATACGTTGCCAATTTTCAACCAGCTTTGTATCATAACAATGTGGGCGGTATGTGTAAATGAACTGTGGTAAACTTATCTCCATCTTGCCAGCACCCACATCTCCCTGCTCATCTTTTCATTTAAATCCGCTAGATGACTTGTTTTTCACTGGTCCTTGGGGCTGTTGCTCAAACTGCACATATTATGTCTGCATTTTCGTGTGCCTGCCACCACAGGACACAAAGAGTATAGACGCAGATCGAGAGAAAGACCCAGAACTCTGATCAAACTGTAAAACTAGGCAGTGCTGATCAAATATAAACCAAGATTCTGTTTCTGTATTGCCTAATTCTCATCTAAATTGTCTCAAGAAACAGTTTTAGTGCACTGTTTGGCTGTAATATGAGAATTTGTGGACAGGAAGTGGGTGCCATACGGTTTCCTGTGTTGTATAGATCAAACAGTGAAACTAAGCAGTGCTGATAAAATTACCTATTTCTCACCTAAAATGTTTTCAGAGCCATATTTTAGCTTAATGTTTAACTGTAATTTAAGATTTTCTCTTACCAGTCAGCTGCCATATTGTTACCTGTGGAAAAACAGCCAAGCTCATACTATGTCACCTACCAGTGGGACCTTTTACTGGTCCAGTGTGGTGCAGCACATTCTGGTAGTTGTAGGTTTCCTACCTCTTGAGCAAAAGCAAATGCCACAGCCCCTTTTTCTCCATTTTCTCTGGTCTTTTTCCCCAAGTATTTGTGTCTTTCTACAGCCCAGTTTTATGAATAAACCATCTCATTAGTATTGAAGTACATCTTTAATTAAACCCCACATTTGAGCTCTTTCTAATTTGTCTAATGTTTCACCAGAAATATAAAAATTGTGCAGAGATGCCATTGTTTGTGTTGGATATAAACACAAAATATTCTTAATAAAGCAAGAAAACTAGAACATGTTATTGACTGAGCTGCTCCAGACGACATTTTAACCGGAAAGCAACAACTCCTCTGTGTTGTTAGAGCTGAAACAATTAGTCAGTTAATCATTTAGGCGATCAACAACAATTTTGACAACCAAGCGATTGTTTAAGGTATTCGCTAGTACCAGCTTCTCAAATCTGGGAATTTCTTTCTTTTCTCTGTTCTATAAATGCTTAAATTGAGTATCTTTAGAGACTGTCAGACAAAGCAAGGGATCTGAAGATGTCACTTCAGGCACTGGGGCATTGCATCACACATTTTTCAATGTTTTCTGTGAGGGAATAAAGAATTAATTGGAAAAATTAAAACACAGATTGCTCAATAATGGATGTAACTGTTAGTTGCAGCCCTATTTGTTACCATACCTGCTTACTATTGAATCCCTTTCACATTATTATTCATGTTTTTTATCCAGATTAATTACCAGATAAGGTGAATTTTCTCCTCTAGCAGTGATACCGGTAGTGTGCCAGGTGGCCCCCCAACTGCTTTCTAATTCACAATGAAAATACACTTACTCATACAAGTTTTTTTTTTTTTTTTTTTTTTTTACACTTTAAATATAAAAAAGGTGCCATGGTGCATGAAAAAACATCAAAAAAGAGTTTATCCAAAAAAAAAAAAAAAAAAAAAAAGTGTCAAGGGAGGACCGTTCAATAGGGGTCTGCCTCTGGGCAAAAGAAGTTCAGTATGCCTGTCCTACAGTATCTTCAACATACATGGCAAGACACTAAACATCAACCTGCTCAAGCATTTAACATACATGTCTTTAAATCCATCTCTTACCAAATTCTTTCTGTCTTTGTCTCCACAGGAAAGGTTCGAGGCATTGTTCAGGATCTACGATGAGCAGACGTCTTTCCAGATGTTCAAAAGCTTCCGGAGAGTCCGGATCAACTTCAGCACCCCAGAGGCCGCTGCCCGCGCTCGCATCGAGCTGCACGAGACCGAGTTCAACGGCAAGAAGCTCAAACTCTACTTTGCCCAAGTGAGTTACAGTTAAGGGGTCTGGGAAAGGGCAGGCAGGGGGCCTGGGACATAGACATCATCTAAGGAAGAGCGGTGCTTATTTACATGGGAAGTTATGCTTTAATGCATGATTCACTGCAGCATGCACAAACACAACAGAGACAAAAACTCTGTCAAGTCACTTCCTCTCCTTTTCATTCATATATGTGTGTGTGTGTGTGTGTGTGTGTGTGTGTGTGTGTGTGTATTTGAGTGTGTGTGTGTCTTCTCTGAGCCACACCTGACTGCTTCCTCAACCCACCAACCTTCCTGTCAAACCTCATCAGTCATATGATTGAACACATGAATTGCTGATTTCTCCTCCGTCATAACTGTGTATCTGTGCATGTCTGTCTGTTGCCTTTAGGGGAGACAGGGGCTGAAAAACAAAGTGAAGTTTGTGTCTTGTACAAACACAAAATAAGAAGAGAATATATCATAGCTACAATAATAAAGTCATGTTTGGAGGTTTTGGAATAAGCTTTAAAGTTTAGACATGTAGCTCATTACATTTAAGCATTTAAATGTCTGTATTTCAATGTGTAGAAAGTCCAGACCCAAACCCACTGAAATGTAGTCCCCAAAGCTGTGTTAAAACAACTGTTATATGTAAGCTAGATGTCTTTAAAAATTATTTATGCCACGACATCACTTGGCCTTCACAACACCAAATTCCTTCTTCCTGGGAAACCATGAATCAACTTATAATTGATGCCCATTTTATCACAAAAATATCACTGGTTATGACCCCTGCTGCACCCCTCAGTACTTTGATGTAAGAGGATTAAGGATTTTAACGCTCAGACAGATGCCACATGTAGGTATTGTAATTATGGCAGTTGGCTGTTATCAAAACGCCAAAATACCCTCATGGGAAGGAGCCTGCAATTTGAGACTAAAAGACTGAAGCCGTGACTGCAAAACTGATGTGTTTTTCTTGCTGTTAAGTATCAGAAACTTCGACAACTATCCCAATTTGAATCCTCTTTGTGAATCGTCACTTTGTCTACTGTCACTTTAGGATTCTTCCCAAAGGAGCTTCACCCACTTCATATGACTTTGAGCTCCTATTGAAAGCGCTACAGCCTTCATCTATTGTCATCTCCTCTCTGATAGGTCCAGAATGGTGATGAGGACATCGACAAGTCGTACCTGGCCCCTCCCCAGCCCGTCAAACAGTTCCTGATCTCGCCCCCTGCCTCGCCACCTGTGGGCTGGAGCCAGAGCGAAGACGCCACACCCGTCATCAACTACGACCTGCTGTGTGCAGTAGCCAAGCTGGGCCCTGGTCAGTACTCAGTAACTAAGTTCATGAAGCATTTCAGAATGCTTATACATTAAATACACACAGACATGCACAGATGAAACATGCAGGAAATGGTGTGTGATGATGATGAAGGTATAAAAAAAAATCTAAATTGAGTCACCCAGGTAAAAACAGGAAATAATTTCACGCTCCTCAGCAGGATGTTACAGAAAGGTTATTTGTCTAGGAAGCAATTTGACAAAAGGAATTGGGGTGGACATTATTGAATCATCCGTGTTTTATTCTTGACTGTTCCTGCAGGCTTTTTGGTAATGTCTGTGAAACAGCATTAGGTCTAATTTACCTGATCACAGATGCATTTGTATGTAAGACCGCCATTATGTGTTCGTGTAATCTCATTATGAATTGAATGGCATTTTAGAATCGATATTTCTATGTGAAATGGCTGTTAACGTTGAATTTCCTGCTCAAGTGTTGCTGTGCACATGGTCTCGGTCAGGCAGCAATATAAAAAAATATATCAGCTTGAAGCACATAAATGAAAACCACAGTGCTGGCCATTATCCGTCAATGTCAAAGACGCTTCACCTTCAGTTGCTGCATTCTAATATTTCTAAGGAAATATGCATCAATGCGAATATCTGTGTGTCTGTGTGTTTGTGTGCAAGTTACTTCAAAGTGCTTGAAGATGTTACGTTAGTTACTTTATCATGTAACTGGGATCTTTTTTAGATTTTGGTATGGAAAGTGTTGCCAGGGATTTAGGGATTTGCTCATAGACTGTATAAAATAATAGCCATAGTTACCATGACATCATCTATTGGTTTGTGGACTCCTGTTTTGGAGCCTCGAGTTCGGCATTTTGTACAATGCAGTCTTAATTTTTGGAGTTAGAAGCAACCATGTTTGGACGAAAGGGTGGAGCTGTGGAGGAGCGAGGTGTGAATCTGGCTCAGAGACTGTAGTGGCGCCTCACAGACAGCCGGTCACCCAAGCGGCTAGGCCTTTAAATATATGTGTGACTTATGTAAAAGTTACAGCCAAACAACAACACAATTAAAAACATTCAAGATATACAGTAACATGTAGAAATATTTGGACACTTACGTACGATGACAAGAATCAACCGACTCATCCTTATACTTTAGCTTTAAATCAGGCAGAGAGACCAGTTCACGAAGTTTCAAATCGTTTTGAAGGTTATTCCTAGTGAGGGGAGCAGAGCACATAAAAGCTTTCTTTCCCAGCTCAGTCCATGCACAAGGAACAGACAACAAAAGTAAGTCTTGAGATCTCAGACTACAGCTACTGTCAAATCTCTGTTCAATCAAAGTACAAATGTCGGTGAAAGTTTACCTAGTATGGCTTTAAAAATGAACAATACCAGTGACTGAGCCTACGAAAGGTCAAAGATGGCCGACCAGCCCAAAGATATGCAATATCTAACATGTGCAAACAATGTGCAGATGCATTCATGTACAACAAATCGCCATCATCCAGAACCGGTAAAAATGTAGCAGCAGCCAATCTTTTTCTGGCCCCAAAGGAGAAACAGGACTTGTTTCCAAAATAAAACCTAACCCTGACTTAAAGCCTTAATAAAATGTTAACAGGTGTGCAATGTAAAATTTCACCCCCATACATACGTCATAAAGGGGGAAATTAGCTACAGAGACCAAAACCATTTTTGTACCAGGCTGTAAACATGTTTATTTCTGCTGTAATGTTAGGCATTTTAGTCTGTGGGGATTGACTCACGTCTGGAGACAGCCTCAAAAGTGGCCATTCAAGGAACTGCAATTTTTGGCACACTTTGTGTTGGCTTCATTTTTCAGCCTCAGAGGTTGCTGCTCGGTTTTGCACCTTCATCATTGCATCAAGGTCAAAAGACAGGCGGTGCCTATTTTCCATTTATGAAGAAGAAGAAGATATACTTGATTATAGTGTTGTCACGATACCAAAATCTTTGTTTCGGTACCAATACCAATATGAATTTCGATACTTTTCGATACTCTTCGGTACTTTTCCTAAGGAAAAGTCCTTTTGGATACAAACCTTTAGAACAATAAATAGTAGGGGTGTAACGGTACCAAAAAAATCATGGTTCGGTAAGTACCTCGGTACGGACGTAACGGTTTGGTAACTCAAATGTTCCACCAAGTTTGTGTTGTCTCGTGTTGTCTCCCTTTGCGAGGCAGACTTTCTCTTGTCTTTTTTCACGTGTGCCAGCTGTGGATGTTGATACGGTGTTGTCATACACACCACTTGTGCAATCTGTGCTCCAATAGGAACAAGAAAGGCGTTTGTGTGCATAATTGAGTAAAATAAATTAACTAAATTAATGAATTGAATCAATTTCAAAGTACCGGTATTTTCCAAATGCAGTATAGTACCGTTTGGAATACTCTACTACCGTGGTACTATTTTAGTACCGGTATACCGTGCAACACTACTTGATTAATATTGTTAAAAAGTCAATTTTTTTCACTCTGTTGTCATACACACAGGCCTGAAATACACACACATGCACACACAGGACCAGTACATACATTAAATGGAGAGATGTCAGAATGAGGGGGCTGCCATGGACAGGCGCCCCGAGCAGTTGGGTGTTTGTTGCATTGCTCAAGGGTACCTTAGCAGTGCCCAGGAGGTGAATTAGCACCTCTCCAACTACCATATTTGGTCCAGATGGGGACTTGAACTGGCAACCCTCCGGTTTCAAACACAAGTCACTATGGGCTGAGCTACTGCATACCCAAAATCGCAGTAGAGCTAATGGAAGCATTTTTCAACTTTGAATTAAACTCAGTAGAAAAATCTTCATCCTCATGAACACCATATTTCAATGCAATGAGACCTTTCTCAAACGTCCAATCCAGAGAGGTAGATAATCATCGTAACCATAGAAACTCACCACAACTGAACTCCGAATGAAGCAAACAGTCAATCCCTATGAAAAAGGCAACAATCAGAAATTCAAAAATCTGAATTGTGAACAAACACGACACAGCAAACTGATGTTGTGATCACAGTGTGTATCAGTTTCACGTCACCACAAAGTTCCCATCCTATCACAGTTTCAGCAGGTGTGTGAAATGTGTAGGCAGCACAGCTCTGCACTGTTACATTCTTCTCCCAACAGCCTCGCCCCCAGTCAGCTTCTCCACTCTATAAAATGTCACCTTACACACATAAAAAGGTGTGTCACGTCCACAGCGTCTGTCCATGCTTGTGTATGTGAGCATGCTGATGAAGTGGAAAACATCACTTCCAGGGCTGAATTCAGTCGAACAAAAACATGATTAAACTTCCCACATACCCACAAACACACACACGCACACACAAACACTGTCCATCCCAGAGGATCACTTTTTGACACGTCCTGCTGTTACCATAGCAACATGAGGAATCAGGAAATGGCTTTGTTCTGCGCCTCACATCCTGGCATCTGAAATCAGATTAGCGCCGGGCTGCAGCACGGCGCGCTGACTCCCTCTGTCAACTCCCTGCGGTAACAGCAGGACTCTATTCACTGTCCGTCTCTCTTTTTGGCACCACGGTGAAAAAAAAGAGCCACAAGACCAATTTCCTCCTGTCTGCCAGCTGTCTGATCTCATCTCCATGGCAACTGTGATACAATCTAGCAAGTGTGTGTTTTCAATCTGAGTCCGCTGAGTTTGGCATCTGGACAAATGGCAGGACCATTCCAAGAAAAAGTCTCTTTGTGTCCTCTTGAGGCAACGTGCTGACCTGATCTTAAGTGCAATAGACAAACAGTAGATTATCTTGGGCTGTAAAAATATCCTCAGTGTGGAAAAATAGTAACAACAAATAAATAATGAACCACATAACTGTATTTTTTTTTTTTAAAAAAAAAAGGTCTTTTCATAAAACTGAGCCATTTATGCTGTAGTAAGACTCAAATGATTGTAAAATTGGTGCTGCATGATCAGATAAAACAGAGAAGAAGGGCTGTGGCATTCGCTTTTCTCTAAAAGGTAGAAAACATACAACTACCAAAATGCACTGCACTGCACCGGACCAATAAGCACTCCTGCTGGTGGGTGACGTACTGCGAGCTTGTCCGTTTTGACCCTGAGTTCTACTGTTTGATCTCAGTATATTCAGCCTCTGTCTTTACAATACAGGAAACAGTATGGTGCCCACTTCCTGTTCACAAATTCTTGCATTACAGCCAAACTGTGCACTAAAATATGTTTATGAAGACACGTTGCATCATGACCTGTTAAAGAGTATTTAATGTAGTATTTTTCATGCAACTCCTTCCCCTCCTCTCTCAGGTGAAAAGTACGAGCTCCACGCGGGGACAGAGTCCACCCCCAGCGTGGTCGTCCACGTGTGCGAGAGTGAGACGGAGGAGGACGAGGCGGTGCGGCCAAAGCAGCAGATCGTCCAGACCAGACGTCCCGACGGACCCCCCAAAGTCTTCAACTAAAGAGGCCTCCCCCCCGGCACCGGTGCGGCCCCCGACCGCCCCTTAAACCCGCAAAACACACCTGCCCTCTCTCTCTCGTCTCTGCACTCACAGAGAGCGTCGATGCCCCTCATTTCAGTTCAACTACAAGCAAAAACAAACCAACAAACATTGCTCGAAGACGGTGTTTGTGGGGAGCGTGGCGATGGAATGAGGCGGCTTGAAGGGGATGGATGAGAATCACACACACACTCATCACATTCTGCGGACAGCGTGGGGAGCGGTGGGCACGCTTGCCTCCACCCCACAAACCTTCCCCTTGTTTTCAGCAAGAGGGGTGGAAATACCTGTCCCAACGCAGGCACCTGTCACTTATCACACACACTCAGCTCTCATTGCTAGTCCTGCTCCGTAGCTTGCTAGTCAGTTAGCTTGTTAGCTTGTACCTCTCCCTCTCACATGTGTCGTGTGTTCAATAATCTTTGGTTAAACAAAGACATTTCTTCTTCTTCTTCTTCTTTTTTTTTTTTTTACAATAAATTGTGTTTTCATATTATATATATAAATATATACATGTCTATTTTTTCTTCTTTTTCATCCATTTTCATATCTGCTGGTTTGTCGCTTCAGCTTGCATCAAGATTGAGTGTGTGATGTTCCCGCTCTTGTCTGCATGTATATACTGTAATACAAAAAAAAAAAATACGTACAGAAACACAAATACTAACAAGATATATCAAGAAAAAGGAACCTATTTAACATCACACACAGCACGAAGCGTCATATGTGACTAACAAAGTTGTGGTGGCTGTTTGACTTTTATGATTTACTTTCGCTCGTTTTTGTCTTTTTTTATTTGGAGAGGTGTTGTTTTTTGCTAAACTACTAGATGTGTATTCTTACTATGTATTTGATACCCCGACACTTTTTGCATGCTTAGTTACTTCTGTAGATGAGGAGCTGAGGTGTTTTTTTTTTTAATTGTTGTTTGTGATGACAGGGAAACAGTGTGACGCTTTTGACACAAGTGCATATCCCCGCGCAGAGTATAAAGTGACGTCTTAGGGGGGGAAGATAAAGCTGAATGCTTTTGTTTCTTTTGTAAGATTGACAGCTCAGTCTGCAACTTGATGGCAAATTTGCATTTGTCGCTTTTGTTGTGATTTGATGGATAAGAGACAGTTCATCCCCTTCATTCTCTTCAAGGGGTTTTTGGGATGTGGATTTTTTTTCTTTCTTTCTTCTGATTCTGTTTGTTGTAACTCATGTCTTTAATGTCTTGGTTATGTTGTTTGATCAAACCCACTTTCTATGTGTCAGGTTTTCTTCTGAAACCTACTACTGCTTGTTTTGCACTGAGTTATCTCTTGATATCTCGAAGCAGTTGCGGGGCTTTCGACCGTCTCCTGCTGCGCACCAGAATACTGCGCTGCTTTCTTGCTGTAAATAGCTGAGCGGTAGATTTGTGGAAAAATAGTCTTTTAGATTTTGTAGTTTACCCGAAAGCATTTCGCTGAGAAAAGGGAAAATTAGGTAGCCTCATGAGATATCAACCAAAGCATAAACTCACCCCATGTTGTCATGATTATGTAATTTTTCTTACTCAGAGACACTGATGTATATTGTTAAATTGAAAGAAATCATATTTTCCCAACACAGCATTATTTTATTTTTGCAGTATCTAGTTTAGTGGGGAGATGAACAATCACTAACAATCATAAATATTTTTCCTTTTGGTTAAGTCTCCCCACAGTCCCGAATCATATCAGTGTTCCAATTCCTCATTTAACGGCATTTCAGTGCTTTCAAAGCAACATGAACAAATGTTCCTAACAGGGCTTTTGGGTGTCAGCGGTGAGTCTAAACCTTATTTGTCATTTGGTGGCATGGAATCTAAAAACTTTTTTTGCTATATTACAATATAAGTAAGCAAAAGAAAAGTCCGTCTGCATGTGAGCACTTTATCAGTGTTTTGTTTGTTTCCGTCACATAAAATAGTCCTTCTTGAGACAAAGTAGGAAGCACATTGCATTTCTTCTCTGTTTCTTTCTTGTGTTTTTTGTTTTCTTTTATCTCAAGCTGAACACCTGGTTAGCCTTTTCACCAGCATATTGCAGTGAGTGAAACACTCCACTTCCTTTTTGCTAGTGTGAACCTTGGAGAATTTCAGGCCTTTTTTGGATCAATGGGAGTGTACCACTGTAAAGGTGTAGACATGCAGTACAGATGTAGGTTTTAAATGAGGCAGGATGACACCGCAGAGCAAAATCAATGTCTTTGTTTTACATGTTTGTCTGCGAGAAACATTCATCTTTGCTGAGGAAGTTAAACGGTTCTTTGAAATGTTGGCAGAGTGCAGTTTTATTGGCGCTATGGTAAAGCTGTCGCGGTTATCTAAGCAGACAGCAGATTGGTGGAACCGCTGAGGTACATTGTGATAATGAGGAAGCAGCAGAGCAGGAGGAAGACACTCGTGATGATTTTTTTACTCTCTGTGGTCATGGTGTTTAAAACCGGGTGCATTTTGGTCACAGTTGAAATGAAATTGTATATTTATGTACATATGCCAAGTGGGTTTTTTTTCTTTTGTTGCTGAGGCCAGTCCCAGTGTGCAGTTTGTTACGGCTTCTCTTGGCAATGTTGTAATGGAAAAAAAAAAAAAAAAAGCATACAAAAATGTGTAACAATAAGTCCTGAAGATGCTCGATCAAAAACCAACTGTCATTGTGTTGTGTTCAACATGGACTCTGTTTGAATGTTTCTTATTTCTGGGGAACGTCTACTAAAAAGGTCAATAATACCGTTTGTCACTGTTGTACTGTTTCTGTTGAAATATGAATATTGTGTCTTGTATCGTAGGAATCCAGAAAACAAAGTAGCAAAACAAGCAATAATTTACAGTTCTATAATACCGGTATGTGTATTTTCATGTTCTGTACTTATTTCTCAGAGATGGTCTCTGTCTCTTACAGTATCCGCTTCTATTTGTGTAGTATAATAGCCATTTGTTTCACATAGAGAAATACATAAAGACTTATTCTTAAAAGCCATGTTTAGTGTTGTTTATTTTAGGGGTTGCTTTACCTTAGAGGTTACAAACTTCGGATGCAGATGCCGGTATAGAAACAGAATCTCAAGCAAAATTTCCAGTACAGGCATTTGTTAGATTTATTACAAATCACGTTCACATTGCATGAGTTATATTCATCTGAAAATACCAGCAACTCACTTTTAGCATTAGCACTAGTTTGTGCATTTCATTCATTATCACTACATTCAGTTCACAGAGCTAAGCATCTGTTTTTCTGACAGGTAAATTCATAAAGGTCCTCAAAGGAAATTCATAAAGTTAATGACACTTAAAGGTCTAGTATGTAGGATTTAGTGGCATCTAGTGGTGAGGCTGCAGATTGCAACCAAAGAACTACGGTGGCAACACACCTATCTAGAGCCAAAGTTTGGTTTACCATTCTGGACTACTGTTGAAACAACATGGTGGACTTTGCAGAAGAGGACCTGCTCCGTATGTAGATCTAAACGCCTCATTCGAAGGTAACAAAAACACAATAAGTCTTAGTTTCAGTTGATTATACATTAATGAAAACATAGTTATGAATATTATTTTCCATTTCTGCCAGTATATCCTCATAAGTCCTACACACTGGACCTTTATGGCTGTTTTAAAGGCACTTTAAGAAGATTCTTCATTTGCATTATAAAACATTATTTCTGTTACATTATTTAAAAAAAAGATAATAAATTAGGTCAGTAAGTAGTGGCTATATTTCCTAATCCAAGATCGTAGCTGGAGTTAAGTTTTCTACTATCTATCAAGTAAATTGGTTTTATTTTCCACTATCTAATATTGTCTTATGAAACAAAACAAAAAAGATCCTTTTTTCCAAGCAACTGACATATTTATTGAGCCTAATATTCTTTAACCCAGACTCAAATGGAGTGTTATGTATTACTAATCAACTTCCTTGGTCTATAGCCATGAGTAATGATAGCATAGCTATACTAGCACTAGTACTAGTGCTAATGCTAGTTTGTCCTTAGCGCTAATTACCAAATGCTAATGCATGCTAACATGCTAAACTAAAATCGTGGACATGGCAAACATACCTGCCGAATGTCAGTATGTTAGCATTTTCATTGTTATCATGTTAGCACATTAGTGTTAGCATTTGTAGCTGCCAGCACAGCTGTTGACTGTTAGCATTGTTTAAAGAGCGTTCAGAAAGACAGATACTTGGCTCTACAACTCAAATGTGACAAGATTACAAGTGGAAATATCACCACAACTGTAAGTGTAATGATTAACCCTCTAGGTTTTTAGCCTAGCAATATGTATTTAGTTTGTGTTTAGTGCTAACTGCCTAATGCTAATGCACGCTAACATGCTAAAATCGTGAACATGGTATACATACCTGCCTAATGTCGGTGTGTTAGCATTATCGTTGTTAGCATGTTATTACGCTGACGTTAGCATTTGGAGCTGCCAGCACGGCTATTGACTGTTAGCATTGTTTAAATAGCATTTAGAAGACAGACACATGGTTCTACAACTCAAATGTGACAAGTTTACTAGTGGACATATCACCAAAGTGTTACAGCGCTAATTACCTAATGCTATTCATGCTAACAGGCTAGGCTGAGATGGTGACATGTTAGACACTATACCTGCTAAACATGTTAGCAGGTATAGTGTCATATAGTGTTATAACAGATTAGCATTTAGCTTAAAGCAGCCTCACTGAGCTGCTAGCATAGCTGCAGACTCCTAGCACTCAGAAAGACAGATGCTTGGCTCTATAACTCAAATGTGACAAGTTTACAAGTGGAAATATCACCAGAGCTGTAAGTAACTGGTCAACCTTATTGAGATGGTGACATGTTAAACATTATACCTGCCTGACAGCAGCATGCTAGCATTGTCACTGTGAGCATATTAGCATGCTGACATTAGCATTTAGCTCAAAGCAGCCTTACAGAGCTGCTAACATAGCTATTGTTTAAAAAGCTTTCAGAAAGACAAATGCTTGGCTCTATGACTCAAATGTGATGATAAATAATACATTAGAGACACAAAGCTAGGCTATGAATCAGCCCATGCAGATGTAAATAGATAAAACTATTACTATAACTACTATAACTAGTTATAGTATATATATTATATAACTACTACCTCTGTAATTCTCCACTTCTCTGCTGTTTTCAAAATGTTACACAATTAATGAAGGTGAATTGGTTCGGTATCAACCCATCCTTCACACAAGGCTATAAAATACACAGAAAAGCCTTTATTGCATGTTTTAAAATCATGCTAGAATGGTACAACAGAGTTACTGTCACTTGCACTTTGCACCTCATATTTCCCCCAAGGACATAACAACAGTTAATATTCTGTTTGGTTCAGGGCCTTGTCTGTATGGTAAAGACACCGACATCAAGGTTGAGTTAATGATTCTTACAGTAAACAACACTGGACATGAAATTTATAACACGAAAGGCAAGGTGTGGCAATGCAGCCGTGACCTGCAGTTCAGCAGCCGATTGAATTTCACAGCTGCAGTTTCCCCGTGACAGCCATGAAGACAAATGACTGCTGATGAATCCAGTAACAATAGATTTCTCTCATCCATTTCCCCCTGACAAACCGCACTTCATTATTACATGAGGGGAGTAGAAACAACAAAGCCAGGAAGGAAGCAAACTGTCAACCATGGCTTGACAAAAAAGTATGTTTTGCAACTACAGGTGGGATGAAAAGATATTTTTTGTTGATGTAAGCTCACTGTTTTAGTGGAAAGATTTGTGCTTCCTGAAGTGTACACAATGCTAAAAAACAAGTGCAGAAGGTTAGCTGTGTCATTGCTGACATACTTAATGGTCTAAAGGTGAAAACAGTGGACGGCTGTCAGCATTTTACAGTTAGAGAGGACTGAACAACAGCTGTGAGACGAGGCTTACTCTGCTGCCCTGTATCTTCCTCTCCATGACACAAAAAGCCCTCTCTTCATGGGGAATTCCTCCTCACAATGCCCCTCATTGTTGAACGTGAAGATGCGTGTGCACCTAAGGGGAACAGATCAGGTTAACGTGGCCCCTGTGGGTGTTAATGGGGCCAGTGCCTCCAGATTCCTTTAAAGGTACTCTCCAGGATTACACAGCGGGCACGTCTCAGTTGCTCATGCAGGAATCTTAAGTGATGCATTAGTCATGAGTTGACGAGAATATACAATGTTTTTAGTTAAGTGGTTCCTTAAAAGTACACATAGTGGAGTGTAATGGGTTTACTCTGACTGGATTCAAACATTTACCTCAGCTTTTAAATCAAAGTCCCCTAATGCAATGAAGTGATAAGTACAGTGAGCGTAAACACTTTTATCTCCCTCAGGAGGAGAGAGTAAAGACTGGCTGCCCCCTGTAAGGCCTGCTGTTTTATAGTCAGGAAAAGTGCACATAAAACAACTTTCCTTATCTGTGCTGATAATAAAATCAGTTGGTAATTAAAACAGATTATCAACAGATTACAATGGCAATTTAATGTTTGCGGTTTCTAGGAAATTATGACATTTCTTGGTACATTTTTAGGCATGTTTTAGCAGCATGGCTGGAAGGACACCACAACGTTGGCTGGTCTGCCAGCTCTTTGATGACTTTGAGCCAGGCTGAAAACACTCAGATGGATCTGCATTAAAGTTGGTAAGTTCATAAGTCATTCCTGTTATGCAGCAACATTTTCTGTCCCTATGGATTACTTCCTCATATTTTCTTTAAGATGTGTCAAATATTAATATAACAAATGGCTTAAATTAAAAATTGGAGTCTTCTTCATCACCTAAACACAGAATAATGCACATTAAAAAATACTTACTGACCTTTTTTGGTACATACTGTATGCTTGATTTTACCATGTTGTCAGTGCAATGTTATTAACATTAGGGTGAACAGTGAAATTTGAGACATCAGGTATAATGGGACAAATAAGGCTTTACATCTTGGGCTCTTTAAATATTAGCAGCCAGTCACCAAACATATAATTGCATTGTTTTATAAATGTCCTTTATATGAAACAATGTTTTTTAAAGAATATTTTTATGGCTTTTGCCTTTATAAGACAGGACAGTATTAAGGGTGAAAGGGGGGCGAGAGAGAGGGGATGACATACATCCAAGGGCCGTGGGCTGGAATTGGACACATGGCCGCTGCAGCAAGGACATTGACTTTATACATGTGATGCCTGCACTACCCACTGAGCCAGTGGGCACCCCAGAAACAATCATTTTAATTGGTTTTAGACAACCAGTATGTGCAGTGTCAAGAGTTAAAAAAAAATCACTGGTCTCTAACATGCAAGGAAAGCCATGTGGCATGTTGACTTTCTCTTTCTGGTAATAAGAGTGCTGCAGCTAAAACAATAAGGGCATAACAACAAAAATGTTTTTTTTTACCTGAACACGTCATCTGAGTGAGGTCAGGGTACTTGATGTTTTTGATTGTCCAAAGTTTTTAAAGTAGGCCCCTATTTTACTTGCATATTTTCTTTATAGAAATATAGCAGAGAACTATAAGAAGTCATAAAAGTAACACTTCAAGTAGCCTTCAGAGTTTTAGGTGGTTTTCTTAATAATCTACTACAATCAGAACCAGAAAAATACAAAGAATAGAGAATCATAACAAGAATAAGAGTATGAAACAGAAGTATGTAAATATAAAGTAGTAAAATAACAAAAAAAGGTGCATTATGCCCACTGTTTAACACTAGTTCTTAAGATATTAAGAATAAAAAAATGT